CTCCTTAATAATTATGATGTTAATTTGATATTGTTATATATTTTATTTACTAGGAAAAGTACATTGGTCAAACTAAAATATTGAAAGAATGAAAACTTTATTGGATAGAGCAAGAGATTATTATAATGTTAGTTTATGCTAAGATCATCCATGCGAAGTTAATCTAAAACATTGTAATAATTGTGTCGCTATTGTTAACATAGTTTGTGTTTTACTAGCAATGGGTAAAACTGGCTTTCATAAATAAAATTAAAAATAGATTTCTAAAAAAATTAAACAAAAGTTATGCTTTATTTTTAGCCTTATACTAAAAATGTTAAATTCAATCTCAATTTATTTATGAATATTGTGAAGATAAACAATTGTGAGTGTATTATGTTTTTTGATAACAAAATATGATAAAACCATCTGTAAACCACTTTATGTATAGCAAAATTAATAATATTAAATGTAAATGATATTCAACTAATCCAATTTGACATTTTAATTCTGTTTTACAGTTAATATTCACAATATTGAGCATATTTGGTGCTGTGAAAATGTGAAAAACTTCTAATAATCAACTCGATACTGTATCGACAATAGATATTTATCAATGATCAAGGTAGAGCAGTTTTTTTATTTTGCATTAGTTATGCTAATTGTATAATACTAGTTGTCTTAACCATAATTGTTTTCTAATGGCAAATTATTTTACTACATGCACATTATACACTTTATTTAGAAACATTAAATAAAATATAAAATTACAATTAACATGTGAACCGTTATTTTAAGTTTAACCCCAATGTCTTTGTGTGCTTGTATGATTTTGTTGATATCAGCTCTTAATGGATTAACCATTAGTTACACGGTGAATAACAGTCATATTAATATGATAAATTCTATTGATTAGTGAATATGTATAATAGTTACACTATAAATATAACTACACCAAGTTTATTTCAGTATTTAGACAAAATATTACAACAATTAACAATTCCCTTATTTATATAAAGTTTATTACTGCTATGTAATTAAATATAAATATTCATTATGGACAAGCTCCATTTGCTAATTTGCATATTATTCCTGTGGCTACAGACATGTAATGTGCAAGTGTTGGGTGATTCGAGTGACGATTATATCGATCGGATCAATAATAAAACTGTTGAATGCACTCGACTTGTGGTCCCAGAGTTTGATCAGACAAATGACAATACTTACGGCATATGGAATGTGGAGCGCCGGTGCTGTGCTCTATCAGTATTCAATGGTTGTAGAGATAAATATAGCAAGGTAATTTATTTTTAAATACTTTATTTAAACAATTTATTATACCAAACCATTTTTATTATTAATACAATTATGCTTATTTATAATATTATTAACTATAAAAATTGTTTACAAAAGCTCACTTTTTAATTGATTAATGGTGATTAATCTATGATTAATGGTAACTTTGGTGATTATCACTGATTATGGTAGATAGTTATTGCAACATAGCATTAAATATAAGATAATAATACATATACATTACAGTATACATAATATTACGTTTATAAATGTTTCAAAAATATTTAATAATATGCTAACAAAATAATGCTTATTATTACAGAATGAGTGCGACCATGATATGTTTAACGATAACCTCGTAAAATACAATTAAACGTTTAATACAGGCATGTGCAAAGATCACAAATATGTGAAAGATTAAAAACAATGCAAGGGTGGCAGTGGATTGGTTGGCGATATTGACCCTACAATTGATTTGCAAATAGATCATTGTTATATAAAAATTTCACCAGATGTAGAAAATTGTGTAACAAATGTTGTAGATTTTGATTATAGAAATATTGATTATAACCACCTTGAAGAAATTATTGGAAAGGCCTGTTGCGCTCTATCTGTGGCATATGATTGCACCGTTAAATATGGCAAGGTAATATTTATAAACTTGGATTTTGCGCAAAACTTAAAAATTTAATTAAAACTTTTTTGTTTGGTTAATGAGATACCAAGCTCACAATTTAATAATTTTATATAATTTTATTCTGATTAATCATTTTTAATTCAATAGGACAAATGCAGAACTAATACTGAAAACTATGACACAATGAAAACTAAATTGGATCGGGTTAAAGATTTTTACAATGTTAATTATTGTAACGAACATCAATATACACCTGGCCTACAACATTGTAATAGTTGTCGCGCTATGATTAACATGATATTGATTGGTATTATGATAGTGATGAGCAAATGGATATCATAATTAGAGTGATATAAATATTATTTGCAAAATTTTCTTGCACATTAAAACAAATAATTATTTTTATTAATTAGAAATTATTATTACTTATATTTTTCGGGTGCCAAAATTAATATTTACAAAAATCTTGTTACAATATATTAATTAATCAATAAAATTAAATAATTATTGAATATTTTAATTTACATAATTTGTAAACTAGTTTACATAAAAATATTATTGCAACAATACAAAAATAATTAAATATAAAGTTAAATTATATGTTAAATTAAAAAGCTGTCATTTTATAACTAAGAAGTATTCTAAAATTACAATTTTGTAAGTTAACATGTTTAATGGATTCGGTTAACACTTTCTATAAATAAATCATAATTATGCAATTGTCATTATTGTTTTATTTGCATTAATAAAAGTTATAAAACTGTGTTCATTTGTTAATACTATGTTAGATACTGTAATTTAGTAATTATACAGTATTATAATTAGTGTTGGAAGTTATTTGTTAAAACAAATAAAACCAAATAAAACACACCAAATTTAAAAATAATACAATTTGGTTTTATTAATAAAACTAAATAAAACCAATTTTTGGTCATAATTAATTTGTATAATGTGACCAAACATCACATATTTTATACATTTGTGCATATATTTACTGGTTTTTCAGTAAATAAAATCCCGCAACAAACAAACAATTCATATGAATAGATTAAAAGTTAAAATTATTGATTTAATTAGCAATGAGAGCGCACTAAAGGTTTTATTTTTTATTGATTCATCGGGAATAAAATATTATTATGACGAATAAAACCAAATAAAACCAAATTTTTGAAAAATTACTGATAAAACAACAAATAACACCAAATTTTCCCTTAAAATTAATAAAACCAAATAAAACACACTAAATCCAAATCAATAATAAAACCAAATTTGTTTTAACACTATTCTTAATACCTGTATATAAGCTATTGTTTTAAATTTCAATATTTAATATGTATTTTTATACCTTTAGTTTTACGAGCAGTAAGTATAGTATAATTTTATATAAATTATCACTTTATAACAAATAATTTAATTCCTGATACAAAATAACTTCATAAATAACAATTAAAGCATAATGTTATATTTTATTCAATTAATGGGTAAATATCACATTAAATTAATAATTAAATATTTAAATGTCAATAAACAATTTATTTGTGGCGTATATTTAATAATTAAACAATAGTAGTGTTTGGCATATATCGGGTGACAAGTAATGCATTTCACGCAGAAATGGCTAATTATCTCAACATTACTACCGATGAGTGCAGGATATCCAGGGATTCACTACTGATGGACAACAACTGCTTTTCATATCATAAAATTGATAATACAGTGAATACTATATTCAATGGTAGGCGGGCCAATGCTGCAGAAGTCCCCTGGCACGTTTTTATAAACGTATCCACAGATCTATTTTAGTAAGTTGAACAATCTTATCGTTACTATATTATATTTTGTATTGCAGTTTATGTTAAATTACATTATTTTACTCTATTATTAATTTTAACATTTATGATAATCTTAGTATGAAGTGCGGGGGCAGTATATTGAATGAGTGGTGGATATTAACCGCCGCTCACTGTGTTGCGTAAGTAAATGATAGTAAAATATAATTTTACAAAATAAATAAAATTAAAATTAATTCAGATGCATACACAACTTAAATTGTACCATAACCATTTACCCGGGAACGCTCAACATATCTGATCTCGGTATTGCATACAAACCCAAAAGGATTATAATACACAAAGGTTTTGCATTTAATCAAAGCCTCCCTGATGATATCGCACTCATTGAACTGAACACTGCCCTCGACTTAACCGCTTCAAAGGGCTCACACTATCGGCGGGTAAACAGCGTTTGTCTCCCAAAAGCAGACATTTATAACACCCGCAAAGAGTACGCTTTGGTCGCCGGTTTTGGTCGCATTAATAAAACACATTTTCCTGATTGGCTTCAAATGGGTTGGGTTGGGCTAATACCGGCATCTTTTATCCTTAATGATTGGAGTACTAAAATGATCATGGTACAACAATTTAATGATAGCTCATCGATGTGTGGGGTAAGTATGAGTGAAAACAATCATTTTGTCAGAGGGGAAGGGGAGAGAGAGATTAACAAGATCATTATTATTTGCTTGAATAGGGTGATAGTGGTGGTGGATTAATACAGTGGCAAAATGGTAGAGCTATAGTGATAGGAATTTTGTCTTGGGGTTCGGGTTGCGGTTATCGTAAACAAACCCGTTTTGTGCGCACATCACTAAAGGTTAATTGGATTAACGAACAGATTAATGGTATATGATTTACATTAAACAGGTTATTGTTAACTATTTTATTTTAAGTTAAATTATAAGAGATTATACAAACATTTTGTAAAATAAATCTATTTACAAATTAGGACATTTCTATAATCTATAAAATTTTAATATTTTATTTAATATATTTGTAGTATTAGAGTAGAAACACATTATAAAATAAATGTAGAATATATTAATAACATTATTAAAATCAACATGTTAAAATTATTAATTAATTTTAAATCATTAAATTTAAATATTTGATTTTATAATTTAATACACTAATAAAATACTGTAATTGATTTATTTGCTAAAATAATTAACTATGTATTAAACATACAATTTGTTATAATAAATATACAATTTTAATGTTTATTCTTTGAGTTTATACGAGAATTTGTGGGCCAAAAGAAAATATCGGATATATTTAACAGTAACCTAAATATAAAACATATGATTAATAAAACAATAGTCAATATAAAACAACACAAACCATATAAAACAAGGGCATAGTTAGAGTGCCCAACGGTCCACATGTGAAACCGATTTTGCGATTAGCGGCCAATCGTTCAAAATATGTCATTAATTTGAGTTTAAATGTGAGCCGAAACGGCCAGCCATTGATCCGCCACTGAATACGTGCCAAACGATTGGCCGATAAATGAGTTTTCAATGATATGTAAGCCATAAAAAACTGGACAACAAATATGAAAAACCCAGTGATGACTGCATTCACAGCAACTATAATGGAGACTAACAGCGAAAGCGATTCAAAAAGCAATTGATGGCATAAAATGATATTTATTGGTATTATAGAGAAAAATGTGTAAAACAATATTTGACTCCAAAATTGATTCAAATCATGAATTTCTTTGCAAAACATGTTGTGTTTAATAATAAAATGACGGATTTTTATAAACAAATCAATTTTTCTAACCATAAATACATTTTGCAATTGAAATATAGTGTTTAGCTTATGGTTAATCGTGTTTATTGTTTTCAATGTGGCATAAATTTTGACTATTAGGACATAACAAAGACTTGGTCCGAAAGTTAAATAGACACTGGTTAAAATAAAAACCATTATTACCGGTATAAATGAGAAACAAAACTCCCAAAACATATAGTTTTCAATGAGTAAAATAACGTATAACATAATAAAAGTCCAACCTAGTTTATAAACATTAATTAGATTATGTATAATACTAAACATGGAATTACAATTTAATTGCTAAACTTACATGATATTAAATATGACAATAAACATATTATTTGAACATATTTTAATTTAGTTAGTATTTTGGGTTTATTTAAACTCTCATATAATATACTATGAGATAAAGGCATTACTCGGTCAGTTGGGAGTCCAGTGCCATCAAACCATATTGTTTTAAGTATGTATTTATTTAAATACACAGATTTATATACAAGTGTGCCAAATAACAAAACTAATATAAATACCATCTGGGTGTATTCCGTTATGCCACCAAAAAATATAGACACATCAAACAACAGTTTCTGTGTCTCGTAATCGCATTTCATTGATATAATTAATTTCAAGCAATTTATT